AGGAAGACTGGATGTATCACAGGTGAATAAGGAAATACTCAGCTTAGAAGAAAGCCACGAAGTTAGGACTTGTATTTACTAAGACACATAACTGTAATGGTGACAAGGAGAGAATTTTTGTTTGGTGGCATAGTTCTTGCTATGATGACTGGTAGGTGAGGTAACTTATTCACATAATGTTTAATAGTTTTGGCATAACTCAAAGAAAATACAGTCCTCTTCTCTAGGCTTTTAGTAATTTATTAGGCTCTGGGCCACCCAGTTTCACCACCAAACAAGTTCCCTGTAGGAAGCAGCGGGGAGGGGGGTGGTACTGGAGGAATTATTCTTTAAGAAGCAATAACACAAATTTTTTTCCAGATAAGTCAGTGATTCTCAAACTAATTTTCCTTTGCTTCTCAACAGGGGGGCCTTGGGATAGGACACAGTAATAATTATTTGGCTCTATGGCTCCCAAGAACTATAGTCCTTGTTTTCTGCTTCTGCGTGTGCGGTCCATCTGTGCCCCTAATCAAAATTACTTCTAGGACAGATAGAAACTTCTTGACTGCCACTGCTTCTTGTGGGAATCTGCCTGGCAATATGCCCACTCTTCCATTCTCTTTGTCTCTAGTTTGAGAACTTCGATCCTAAGACAGATTTTGCTTATTTATATATATCTATATGTGTATTTTTTTAAAATTTAAACTTAATTTGAGTGGTCTCCTGCAGTTTTCAACTTCCTTGAGGACTTTGGAGTTGATCTGGTGAATCATTTCAGCCCTTTTGGTTTGGTAGTGTCTTTATTTCTCACCTCTCCTTTTGTCTTTTAAATTCTCCTCCCTCATCTTAATGATATTACATTGACAGCTTGGAAGGGTGGGGGAGGAAAGGAATAACCTCTTTTTATTCTCTCATTTCCCCATGTTACCTCTACTACTCTTGTTTTAACACTAAGAGAAACCATTGCAATGTTGTTGTACTTTTTCAGTGGCACAGATCCAGTGTTCTGAAAAGTAACCTCATGTTCTGAATGGCATCTCTATTTGCCAGGAAATCACTTTTTTACCCATGGATGGCTACAGCCCTTGCCAAAACTGTCAGGTGTTCTAAACACACATGGAACTTTTCTGGGATATGGAGGTTTTGGCTTATTTAGTGTCTTAACTAAGAGGCAGTACATACCATCAAAGTGGAAAGGATCTTCTTGAATTAAATAGAAATTTCCACAAAAAGGTTTAAAACAAGAGCTTAAAGAAAAAAGGGAAGATGCTTAGCCTTGTATGTTATTACCCTTGTAAATCCTCTTACCAAAGATAATTTCTTCTTTACTCTGTCTTGAAAAACAATTCTCTGTAAGTTAAACCAGACAGTCAACCTGCCTATCACTGTTTTGGACTCAGAAAAGTTATTTTTCTTAAATGAATTCTCCACTTAATCAGGTGTTCCTTGCTCCACATAGTTAACAGTGTGGTGGGTTAATGCCATCCTACACAGATCCAGTACAGAGTGCAATTAAATAAGTCCATCACCAAATAATCACAAAATTTAAAGCATTTCTATTAAGTGATCAGGTATTGTCAAGAAGGAGAAGCAACTGAAAAATGCTTCAGCATAAATATAGTAAAAAGTTTAAGGAAATAAATATGATTCTGTGTTTATGATCTATGCAAGTGCTTTCAAGAGCTTCCCTGACATTTTTCCTGACATAAGTAATGCCCTTATAGACATTGGCTTGCCTACAGCAGTGGCTGGCCAGAAAGCCTTCACATACAGAGAAGGATGATAAGCAGGAATTCTGGAGAAGGGGAAAATTCTCTGGGATTAATTACCTGACTGTCTGCAATAATTGGTATGGACCAAACAAGCACGTCCAGAGGGAAGCTGGTTTTCTCTTGTCTTTGCCCTGGCAGAGATTAGAACTAGCTCAAACAGAAGGTGACCTTTGAATGCTCATGTCCATATTCTGAAATTAGGATAATATCACCTGGCTTCTTAAATTATTTCTTGGTTCCAGATGATTTTTTTTTTTTAAGGTAGAATTACCATTTGATGAAAAGTATATTTAATTAAAATTCATATGCTGAACAAACACATTCTCTGAAATTTAAGTACTAGCAAGTGCAGTACAACTAAAGACCTGAGAAAATTATATAGTAGTGATAACAAAAAAGCACACTGATATTTTTAGATCTATTTAAACTCTTAAAATTGTGAAAAACAAATGAATCTTTCATCCATTTAATGTGAGCAGATGAAGAAAAAATGCTCTACTAGGCAAATTCATACCTTTATCCGCAAAAGCTTATATCTTTAAATTACATAAAATTTGTATTTTGACCTTTCAAGAAGAAACCACTGGAAGATTTTGGAGATTATAAATTTCATTGTGAATGCTCTAATTCTGAGACACATTCATATGCTTCTCTATAAAAGTACTCTTTTTGGATGATGATTTTGACCAGCCATGAAGATCACCAAGCCCAAACTCCACCTTCTGTGTCTAATACTGCACAATTATGCTGTCAGTCATTACACACAATACTGAGATTTTGACATTTTCAGTGTGACTGAAAGTGCTTATATGACTAAATTAAGCTCATTAAAATACTGCCAACTTGAAATCTTCATGGACAAAAGGAGGAAATGTCTAATACATATGCACTTAACCCAGTTTAACCCTCATTTTGCTTGTGAGAATAAATCTTTGGGTTTTATCACTATAAAGAATAAATTTCTGTGTGTGTCATTGCTTTGAATAGGTTGGATAAAAAACCCACTCAAACCAATCCAGCACTCCCAACACTGGCCACACTTTAATCACACTCACAAGCACGGGCAAGAGAGGGCATTACATTTTCAGAGCATGTCCCAGTGGAAACATTAAAGATCCTGCTAGTGGAAATGGGCTACCTAGTACTACAATAAATATAAATCTGCCTGGAACGATCATGATTATCCTGGAATTCTAATGAATTGAGACTCTTGGTTTTGGTTAGGAGAAAGCTTTCAGGTTCCACAAGTGTTACCTGCTCACCATTCATTTCATCTCATGGAACACTTCTAGATTTATGTTAAACTGAGGTGAACAAGCCATTCTATTTTTGATTATTTTTTAGTTAAACAAAATGTTTTAGAGTTCCTGTGGCTGAGGTTGGATGAATTAAAATGCAAGCTTTGGTGGGATATGTAATTAATAAAGCATCAAAAATAAAGAAATAAAAAGAATAGTTAAACTGTTACACTCCTTCAGTTTTATATTACTGTTATCAGGTCTAGAAAAATGACAATGAACCAGGCTTAATATGTACTTTAAATTTGGTTAGTGTCTAATAGGATGTATTAGTTCAAATAAATATTTTGAGTGAATCTTATCTGCAAGAAGACATTTGTAAAAGTCTTATATTCATATAAATATACATCTCAGACCTTATAATTTGACTTGTACACAAACAAATAAATAATTGTTTGAGAGTAGAATATTGGAATTTTTTATCCAAACCATTTTTTTTCTCCTATTAGAGTAGACAATAAAGTTCTGAAATGATCTTCCATATGTCAGATGAAAATGGAGATTGTACTAAAGAAATGTGGTTTTTTTTCTTTGATGAAATAAAAGAAGACTGTTTATTGGATGTAATCTTCTGAAGAAATACTGTTCTGGTTGTAACTACCAAACTACCAAATTTCTAATATCTGGCTGATCATTCTGAGACTTTTTTTTCTAACTCTGGATCTTACACTGGATTGATACCACCAGTTAAATTCATTAATATCATCAACACTGGTGTGTTCTTGGTAGTTTCTAATGATTTGATCTCTTCTGGATACAGTTTAAAATCATATTTTACTTTGTGTTGCCTTTATATGTGAGAAGAATTCAAGTTATTCATGCAGAGTGTAAGTGTATGCTATAACTGACAAATTCTCAACATCAAAACCTGTGGCTGGTCACCTGAGACTCTCTTTGCACACAGCAGAGCTAGTTATCAGAGATATATTTCATCAGATCTTAAAGTAAATGTCAAAAATAGGTCAAGTGTATCACACCCTGGAAGTCCTTATTTCCATTTATTGACATTTGCAAAGTCAGCTCTTGATGTCTGCTGCAGAAATCCGAGCACAAGTGTTTATACTTTCATTGTCAGATCTGATTAGGAACTCACAAATAGCACTGGAGTGATTGGAGAACATTCCTGAGGCCTCTGCTCCAAATCTGCCCAGCTATTGAAGAGATGTATTTATTCCACAATGAGAATTAATAATAATAATAATAAAAAAAATCAGTTTGGAGATATGATAATTTTATTTTCTCTGACTTTGGGATTCCAGTGACACACTCAGGGACACGAGTTTCTGTGTGCTGATTGCAAAATCCATGAGAAGGCAATGCAGCCTGGCATGACAGCTAATGAGCACCAAGTTCACATTTTGTCAGCAGGACAGGCTGGACTCAACAATGGAAGAAATGTTACATTATAACAAGTGTTCTGCCTGACATGAAAAGCCATGAAAGAAAGCAAACAAGCAATAGTAAGGCTCAAAAAGGATGGAACTCTTCGAAATACTAAAAATCCTCCTGATATTTAAAGCAGTTAAGCTGAAGACAAAGAGTTTTGATCAGAGAGGGTAAAGAAACTAATTGTTGCAGCAGAGAACACAACAGGATGACAAAAGATAAAATCAAAAGCAAAAGAGGGCCAGGTGGTTCTTTCTGTGTCTTTTGGAATTGTTGATAATTGACAGTTCTTGGATTCAAACCAGGTCTTTCTATATTTGATATAAAGATAACTCCAATAGCTTGGAGGGAGTTTCATGAGTGTATCTTATCTCACTTCATGAAAACAGTATGTATTTTTAACTGGTAACAACTTCATTTCTGTAGAGTAAGAAAGAAAGGTGTGGAAAAATGATTGATTTCCAAATGTGATAAGAAAATAGTGTTTGGTTTAGAAGGTGTGTCTGACAGCAAGCTTTAATTTATATGCCCAAAAGCCTTGGAAAATCTGGTGTGGGGGAAATAAACCTTAACAAAAATAGAACAACCATCATTCTGAGGTATAATTTACCTGCATTAAGGAGGTAATATGTATCATGCCTTGCTTTAAGTAAACTTTCTGGATGTATGGAGATTAGATCCAGCAGCAATTAAACCATTGCCTCTGGAACACTGCACATCTTCAGGTGTGTTACAAAGGGTAAGGAAAAAATTGGATTTATTCAATTACAGAAGAAAGGGAGAAAGAGAGAGAAAAAGGGAAGGAAGGAAGGAAGGAAGGAAGGAGGGAGGGAAGGAGGGAGGGAAGGAGGGAAGGAGGGAAGGAGGGAAGGAGGGAAGGAGGGAAGGAAGGAGGGAAGGAAGGAAGGAAGGAAGGAAGGAAGGAAGGAAGGAAGGAAGGAAGGAAGGAAG